TTTCTTCTTTCTTCTACTTTTCTTTGTCTTTTTTTTTTTTTCTAGTGTATTTTCAGCAGTTTTTCTATTTTCCATAATCGTTCTATTTTTCGAATGCAAGTGCGAATGATTTCAGTGATGACATAGATTATCCAGTATCTGTTTTCTGACCTGGCGACGAATATCTCTAAAACCGATGATATAAATGACAGGATTTATACTAGAATGAAGAGCCAGTAAAGTAAGACACGCAAATGCAAATGTTATAGTCGCAGTGCTCACTCCGTACGAAACAATTACAACTAGACTGCAAATAAATGGTGCAAAGCAAAGCAATAAGCAGACAAGAACAATAACCATCGTTTTTAAAGTTTTTCTGTATTTCAGAACATTGAAAGTACTTTGCAGTTGATTAGGCTGTGGTGGATGTACTGTGTGGCCAATATGACGAAGACCGCGATAAGCATTCACGTAGAAACAAATGGTACTCAACAGTAGAAGACCAAGAAAACTGATCAGTGTTGGCACATGAACTTGATGTTGAAGGAATATAGAGGAAAAACCAAAAGGAAGAGAAAACATCCATCCAAGGTAAATTACAAGTCGTACTCGTCTCTTGGTGACTGTTATTCTGTATCGCTGTCTGAGATTGAAAGCCAAGTTTCTGTCGATACTTATCAAAGCGACCATCAAGAACGAAAGGACGCTTAAAAATGTTATAACAAAGCTGTAGATGGAAATGATCTGACAAACACCTTTCGCGTTCTTGTTTAAGATATGAACCATTAACAAGGTCTGTAGTGGATGATATACTAGACCAACAAGAAGATCTGTGAAGGCTAAGCTTGTTATCAATAAATAAGATGGTGTTTGTAGGTTCTGAGTCGTAAAGATGGCACAGTTTATCAAGGAATTACCCACTGACGCAGTCAGCGTTAGAACTACGTTGAAAACCAAGTTGACAATGCTCGGTGTCATGACCTGCTCTAATGCACCTTGTTTGTTCAAAAACTTCGTTAATTCTTCAAAACACTGGGCTTGTGTTGAGTTCATTTTTCGTTCGAGAAAACTCGTTAAGAATCAGGTATTCAAGTGAATGGTTGATTCGCAGTATAGGCTCACCCTTTATGCAAATCAATTGTCTTCAAGTTCGTATTGTATAATAACCAAAGCGTTCAAAACTCCAGCAGAGCTGCCTACTCTTGTGGGAAGACACTTCTTTTATTCCCGCAATAATAAACTTTGCCTCAAAAATAGTCGCATATAATTCCTTTCCTAGTTCAGAATTGTTGATTTGAATGTTTGTTTTCCTCTTCCAAGAACCTTTTCCTCATCAGTTCTAAAGCCGGCTACACGTCTGCTACTTCAAATTACTAGTATTAGCAAGCAGATGCTAAGCAACCAACTCGCAAAAGCTCCGAAAATTACAGAAAAATTATGGCGCGTTTAAGTAATGACGTCGATGACAATCATCCTTAGAAGTTTAACACTTTAACAATGATTAGCAATGGCTTCTGTGGATACAGAAAGTTTTAAAAACAGCTTTACTGATACATTAATTTTTAAATAAAATTAACCTTTTCAAAAATATGCGTTATTTATGAAGGATGCAAAATAGGTTATTTTTGGTCAAAAAGCATGGACTATAG